GTTATTATTATTATTATTATTATTATTATTCATATTATTATTATTATTATTATTATTATTATTATTATAATCATGATGGCGATGGTATGGAGGGAGGGAGCGTGTGGCAACTCGACAACGAGTGATGCTCGAAGAGTGAAGTGCTTGTGGTGATGCAATGGCAAGAGAGAATATGAGAGGGAACAGAAAACATTAACAAGCACCACCCATCTATCCGTACCCCATCCATGACATAACATGACAGCCAGGCAAAATGGAAAACAACGTTTTTTGGTAAAATCGAAAAAAGTAGAGAAAGTGGAGGAAGGAAGTGAAGCGATTGGAAGAGATAGCCTGCGACCAATAACAAACCATTCAGTAACCATCACCGCTTCAAGGTCATCATTTGCTGCTTGATACAGATGAACTGCTATAGTGTTGATAGATTTCCTCCCGGTATTTCCCGGGACGGGAGCTAAATCGTTCTCTCTAATTAAAGTTATCTTTTGCAATGGTAGTAGGCAAGCTTGCAAAAGAGATGCTTGACAAGGCAGAGATCGCCTCTGGTGGGAATCAGTCTTAGACCGGCCTTCTACCTTACCAGCAGGTTTGCTTCCAACCGTTCATTTCACATCGTCACTTAGCAAGACTTCATCATCCACTACTAAGATCATTTTAGTTATGTTGTTCTTCGCCAGAATTTATAATCAACAATCCGGTTTACTGCCCGAAATCCACAACGAAGCAGTTTGCAAAAGGCTTATTTAGAGGAACCGTACGAAGAGGAATCAATGAAACTAAATATGTTCTGATTTTCTTTCAATGAGAAATCCCACACAGATCTCCGTATGGAAGGTGTAACACCGTTCAGTCGGTCTGCATACCAGACAGGTGCATTTACAATCTATGAAACGACAGGCTGCGCACGAATCGACACACGGTACGTGAACTATACCATGGTGATATGTGGAGCAAACTGGCGATATCCATGTGAATGGCGCCTCTGGCATGCAGACCGTCATCGGTATTCATCCAGTTTTCCGCATTCCAAGTGATTTTGCGCATCATCATGTTCGATTAAGCTGCTTATGCCGTTCAACGGACATAATCCAACAGCTATTTATTAATTGCAGTCGATGAGCGTACTTTTCCAATAACTGAAAATGTTTCGGCAAAATAAAATATAGGTGATTGCAGTATCACATGTTTTTCAAATACCGTATCTGAAAAACACCTTCATTGATAACGAAATAGAAGCAAACCGAAAATAACAGATTTCATAATTCATCATGGTATAATTGGTTACCACATCACAAGCTGATTTGTTGAAATCTCAAAAACGCTGTGATACAAACTTTCAAGGAAAAAAAAACATCGATAAATGATAAAGTTTACTGCTAAATTCACTATCGTACAATTAATTATATGACAGCTCCAATTTCTTGAACGAAAATCTCTTCCAACATTCAGACATATGACAGTGTAAAATTTACTCTGTAAGGTTAAAGATCGAAGCACGGTTTTCTCCCGTATTATGCTGTGAATACAGTTTGGAAGAATCTGTTTGAAATAGTCAAAATTTTAAGTTTCCTGTGTTTTATTGGAACCTCAAACTTCGAGTGACTAGGTAAGTGTAAACTAATTTAAGTATCAATCATCAAGTATAAAGGGATTTTCAGGTAAGCGTATTTCGGCCCAGCCAAGACAGTTCGGCTATGATTCCTGTGAAAGAATCACTGGGTAGTGATAGCCACGGAAATTTTTGATCTATACATTACATAAAATGAAAAAGACAAAATGAGGTAAGGAATGAAAGAAGCATCAACTAAAAGCAACAGTTTCAAAAGCTCGCTTCCCTGAACGACAACATAACGTCGGACTCTAAACTATCAACAGTACCTTTCTCAGCTCACATAAAAACATTCATACACGTCTACAACCATTAATCACTAATCACTACTTCTGCTGTGCTTGTTATGACTACTGCATTTCGCTATACGTATGCATTGTATTTATATGCCCGTGTATGTATTTATATATATATATATATATATATATATATATATATATATATATATATATATATATATATATATATATATATATATATATATATATATATATATATATATATATATATATATATATATATATATA